TGAGACTCTAGGGTCATCTGAGATGGGAACATGCACTTACTACCGTTTAGTGTTTAAAGAAATAAAAAAGGACAAAGCTCCCTTTAAGAATTTTTTTTTTTGCCTGTCAATGGAAATGGCCATGAATATCACTTCTGACAGCTCATGTAGAGCCATAATCCAACACAAATGATTTCAATTCATATTTGGTCTACAGGGCACATGTGATATTTTACATTGTGCATTTCAAGTATATGGGACTTATTTTTATATTGCATAGGTGTAATCAAGTGAAATAAATTGCAGGGGTACAGGGAAAGTACAGAACAGCTGTCTAAATGCATTCTCCTCCATTTTCATCCTTCTGGGTGGTTTCACCTGCTCATCATGAGCTAACCAGTTGCTTGATTGACTGGCAAGAGATTTCCTAGCCATCAGGACTGGTAGCTTTATAATCCTTTACTGAAAGTCAGCAGAGCCCTGTGAACATCCAAATAAATCTGGAATTGAACAAACTCTCACAAAAAGCTGTCTTCCTGTAAAAATTGCATGAGTAATATAATGGAACTGAGACTTTTCCTTAAAGAATAAAGGTGATTTGGAACTTAAGCACATGTTCTAAAATTGATCTGTTTAGAAGGTGATCTTATGTCTCAGCATATACTTATTGTCCTGATATACTCATTCAAGGTTCTTCTTATGTCTCTCAAAAGTACCTGGGTTTGGACAATTAATTTTATGGTCACTGTAATAATGAGATACGTGGGAACTTGAAGACTGAGCACTTCCTGTGTAATTGTAATATGAATATTAGAGGCTACATGTAAGATGGGAACCTGACAGACCCTGTGACTTGCAGAATCATTAATGTTCTTGTAAGTTCTGTGCTAATAAATGTTCTTTCTCATATCTCTAGTATCTGAGTGTTTTTGTCGTTTGTACAAGTACAAATCAATCACAGCTTAATGTTTGTTATTTATGCCTATTCTTATTTTTAACAGAGTAGGTATCTTATAAAAATAAGCCTAAAAAGAAAAAAAAGTGAGAAAAATTGGTGAAAGAAAGAAATAAGGTTAGTAAAAGTGAAATGAAACCTGGGATATAGTTCTTCCTCCAAATGTATGCTTTAAGGTCTTGTACCCACAGGACATTTTTTTTTTAGCTTCTTGGCAGCCAGGGAAAAGAAACATGGTCAGCTGCATGATTCACAGAATCCACAGGGAAGAAAAAAGAATAGTAGGGGTATGAGAGATATTCATGCTGTTCAAGAGCTATACTAAGAACAATGGAAACTTAAAGGTGCTTAAAAACCTGCACCCCACATCCTTGTTCTTACCCTTCCTTTGGCAGCCCTACCATGGCAATTCTCTTTAACTTCTTCGCCAAACTGCACTCTCACCATAATTCCTCGCACTGTTTTTCCACCTGACCACCAACTACACCAGAGTGCAATGCACAACTTCTTTACATAAGCCTCAGCAGTCACTGAAGAAACTTATCAACCAGACGTCCATCTGCATCTAAATTAGGCTGACTCAGTGTCTGCCATCCCTAGCCACTTCCCCAAACACCAGCTTTTCCAGGAGTCTACCCTATTACTAATGTCCTTTATTGCTTTGTATATTCTCCTCCTCATCCTTCTTTTTACTGCCTTTCACCCCAATTCCTCCCACCGGCCTTCCTTTCATCAATTTCAATGTCCTCTTTACTGAATTTTTCTCCATTGTATTGCCATAATAGAAACTGGGCTGGTCTCTGAACATCACTTCTGTTTCATTGTGTGATGCTCTCTCTGCCACATGCTACCTGCCATCAGACCAGGATTGGATTGGTCCCCCCTAAATTCCTATTTCTTCTTCCAGGTCAATACATGCCCATTCTTGTGCAAAAATGCTCATCCTTTGAGGTCCATGCCATTCTGATCACCCTTTTCTTGACCCATCTCCTGCACATGACTCACACTCTTGCTCATCACTCCCATGTCCTGATGGACCACACTCCTTATGTTTTATCTACAAATTTAAAAAAAAATGTTGTTGTTATTCTATTGCAGTTGTCCCAATTTTTCCCCTTTGTCCTCCTCCACTCAACAACCTCTTCCTCCAAATTTCTTAATCTCCTAATTATAGTTGCCTCCACTTCAGTAGCTTGTTCCCGCACAGAATTTATTTTCTGAAAGCCTAGCTGCTATCTCATACTTTGAGAAAAACAAACAAACAAACAAATAAGCAAACAAACTCTATTTGTCTATGAATCTTACCTCTTTACTTCCCTCAACCTTCCCCTTCAGCTCACTGAGATCCTCAGGGCTTTGAATCCTCTGTTGTGTATGGGTCTATCAACACATTAGAGGCTATATTTCCTCCTCTGTTTTAATACCTCCCTGCCTCACAATACTTTACTTTCTAATCCTTTCTCCAATATCCTCTAACCTCCTTGTCCTTCCGCTGCATTCTACTCATAGGATCCAACTCAGGAACATTTAAGCACCTGCATTTTACTTCTACACTTAGACTTCTGGTCACAGCTGGAGGAAAGCTCACTCCATTCAAGTGTTCATATTGACACTGTTAGCAATGACCAGCCTGGCTGGGGTGATCCGTCAATCTGTAGCCAGTCAGCTCTCATTCATATCTTTCTGGTGGCTTTTCTAGACCTTTCTTCTGCCATGCACCTATGAGCAACTGAAATTCAATTTCTGGCCTTGGCTGGTGCAATCTAGTAAATGCAGTTGAATTAAATATTGAGTAAATATTGTTGAATGAATGAAAACTTCATACTAATATTATTTTTTTTCACTTCCTTCCCATTCAGTGGCAACTGATAACCTTGCCACCATTCTCAAGGAGAAGATAGAAGCCATTCTAAGAAGGTTTCTGTGAACTTCCTGCACCTCTCCTTTTCTTTATCTCTGACTCAATGAAAAAGGTATCCGTTCATTTGTCCAGGGATAATCACTTTAACTGTGTTCTGAATCCCCTTGCTGACTATCCTCCCTAACTCCCCCCATCACACATTCATTCTGTGATCTCTGCAAGTGGTTTCTCCTCTCTTCTGGATCTTTAGTTATTTCACTTCTAATGATCATCCCTCTCAATACATATGTTTGTCCAAAGTTTTTATAATGTAATCCTAACTCCCTTTTTTGGTTCTCTTTTGAAATTATTCTTGCCAATATCCCTTAATTGTCAAAACTAGTGGATAATCCTCCCTATTGTTATGTCAATCTTCTCTCTTGATTATTTCCTGTTTTTCAACACTATCCTGCCTTGGTTTGTATGACACTTTGCTGCTGTGTCTTGTTTCCTTTTCTCAGATGCCTTTATAGATATCTCCACATTTATCCATACTTCTAACGGACATATTTTCCAGAGTTCAATTCTCTTTCCTCATACTACATCCTCTCCTTTAGTGACCTCAGCTACACTTACAGCTATGATCATAGATGCTGTGATGATCCCAAGGCTGCGTCTCCAACAAGGGTCTTCCTCTTGGAGTCTCTGAGTACTCAGAAAATACTCATTTCTGGATGATCTATGAATACTTTATAATTAAAATGTCTAAAACCAAACTCATCACCCTCTACATTCTCCTCATATTTGTTATTTGTGATCGATGCTGTCCGTGCTCATTAAACCTAGAAAAAACTAAGTCCTTTTTTCTTTCCACTGCTGTACCAGTTCATCTTCAAGTCCTGTTGATTCTCCCTCCTCCTTATCTGTCATTTTCTTGCTCTTCCTTCTATTTATATTGTCATCATCTTGGTTCAGGCTCCCCTTATTTATCTGGATCCTTACAACAGTTTCCTAACTGGTCTCACTGTCACTTAAATTTCTCCATGATATAACTGGCAGTGTGTTTTTTCTAAAAGGAGAATCTGAACACATTACTCCCTTGTTTAAAATCCATCCGTATCTCCTCTACCATTAAGGATAAAGTTCAGCATTCCTAATAGGATGCATAAGGCCCATATTGATGTGACCACTATCCACTTTGTAACATCATCACTCAGACATAGCAAAATCGGGCACTTGCCATTTCCCTCAGTGCTCTTTACATTGTGACTTGGTATGAGCTACCTCTTTGCCAAACCTACTCTCTTCCTATTTCTCCCACCCTGGCTCAGATCACCCTTTCCAGAGAGATTTTCCTAAACTTTGCAGAATATGTCAGGCCCCATAGCATATATCTTCAGATGCTGCCATTTCTCATCTGCTATAAAACTGTGGGTGCCTCAAGTAGAAATTGTTTCTCTCTTACACATTATCTCTAGGCCAACCTTACCTCTTGCCCCCACTTAACAGAGCTTTCACAAATAGAATTTTTTAAATTAAAATTTTTTCTAGTCTTTTATTGTTCTTTAGTTGCCTTTTCCCCATAGCTCACCCCAATCTTCTCCCTTCCACTCCCACAGTCAATCCCCCCATTGTCCATGCCCATGAGTCTTCTATTCATATTCCTTTTCTTGCCCCTTCCCATTCTTTCTCTCCATTATCTCCTTCTCTCGCTCCTGCAGTCACTGTCAGTTTTTTCTTTATTTCCAAGTCCTTGGTTCTATTTTGCTCATTTGTTTGTTTTGTTGATTAGGTTCCACTTATAGGTGAGATCATATGATATTTGTCTTTCACAGCCTGGTTTATTTCACTTAGCATAATGCTTTCCAGTTCCATCCAGGAGCAGCTTCTTTCTTTCTGCTGTATAGTATTCCATTGTGTAAATGTACCACAGCATTTTGATCCACTCATATACTGATGGGCACTTAGGCTGTTTCCAGCAGTTGACTATTGCAAATAGCACTGTTTTGAACATTGAGGCACTTTTGAACATAGGCACTTTTGAATTGGTGATTCATGATTCTTAGGGTATAGTCCCAGCAGTGGGATTGTTGGATTGAAAGGCAGTTCCATTTTTAGTTTTTTGAGGAAACTCCATACTGTTTCCCACAGTGGCTGTACCAGTCTTCATTCCTGCCAGCAGTCTACTAGGGTTTCCTTTTCTCCACAACCTCTCCAGCACTTGTTGTTTGTTGATTTGTTTATGATGGCCATTCTGACCAGTTTGAAGTGCTATCTCATTGTGGTTTTAATTGTCATCTCTCTGATGGCTAGTGATGTTGAGCATTTTTTCCATGTGTCTTATACTCTGTAAGTAGATTCTAGAAACCAGTTTAAATCTTATTCAATAAAAGCACAATCTTAAGGCAATAGCTTGTCACTGCTACCATGCATAAACACAGTTAAGCCCAGAGGGTGGAAAGGCCACATCTGTGTAACTTCTGCCACCAATGTGCTATTAGAATACCTGTGTCATCTATGAGCTCTTGCTGTATCCATTTGTAGCAGCAGATTAGAAAACAGAAGTTTGGAAATGCTAACAGTGTATAAGTTCAAATTTTCAATTATGCATTACATATAGAAAGGTAAAATACAACATTATGTATAGAGAGATACAATGTCATACTTAACCACAAGTTTTCATTATTTTAGAAAATATTTTGTACTGAAGCTTTGGTTAACTTTCCATACCATTATTGTACAATTTCTAGCAGTTTCACAATTTATTGTATCATTAAATTCTTTTCAAGCTAAGTGCATTTTGGCTTGTGTCAGGTGATACTTCCAGTTCCCCGGCACATCAGTATTTACAGAGGTTTCCAGTCACAAGAGGATGTGACCCAGGCAGATTGCAATATTATTTGTAGTGTCTGCAACAGGGCATCCTTATGCCATTTAACTTTGGACTTATGAACTTCCCATCTGGGACTTTGAGGCACCTGACTTGCATTAACTACATGCAATCTCAAGCTCTTTGGAAATCCAGAATCATATAATCTTGGGGGAAGGAAATTCAGTGGTATGCTAATTTTTCATTGTGCATTGTACCTACAGTGCTTAGTTTGCTCCATCTTTCTCTTTCCTTTTCTTCTTTACTTGAAATTGTTTCCTGTTTATATGAACCGGGGTGATGCAGAGGCCTCAACAGGCAATAAATCCTGCAGAGGAAAGGCAGACTAAGATAGGAAAACATTTCTTTCTCCCAGTGCAATGAACAAGGCTGCTCTGGAGTCTGCAATATGGATTTTATGTGTTTTTTTTTTCCAATTCCCAGTGTGGGTTGTACACAAGGATGGATCAAAAACTGCAGATCATTTCTCTACTCTAATTCTCAGAAAAAGCTACAGGAAGTAGATTGGAGATTACAGATAGGAATAGAATCATATATAATCTGATGACTACAGTTTAACTATGAAGAGAATCAAGGAGAATGTTATTTCTGAAATCTCTCTTTACTCCCTATATTTGAATTTTCCAAGATAAAACACCAGCTAATGTCTGATCTATAAAATGAACTGCATTTGGAGAAGTGATTTTCTCTGCCTCTAGATTATTTGTTTAATTTATTAGAGTGGTCCAAATAATAGAATACTATTGGATTGGGCTTTCCAGTCAAAATTGGTGTTTTATAGATGAAGAAACTGAAACCAAGAGAGATGATAGGCTTTTTTTGTAATATACTGGCATATCTCTCTTCCCACTCATCTCTAATTCTTTTTAACATACATTCACACTCCTTGCCTGCCACCCCACTCCCAAACACACTTCCATTTAGCTCATCCTGATTTTGTTCAGGGTTCGTTGGCAATAGCAAACCGCATGTAAAGCTGGGGTTCCTGCGGTGCCCTCCAATAGTGATTAAGCAAGGAAAACTCAAATCACTTTCTCTGCAATCATTTCAGAAGAGAGCAAATAGGACAAACTCATGCTCCTTAGCTCTCCCATTCTAGAATAGAAAGAGAAATTTATAAGAAAACACATTTCAAATATATGAGACCATCCATGATGCTCGATGAAGGCTGTATAAGGTCCAACTTCTGGAAAAAAATACAGAAACTTCCAAGAAAGGTGTTATTGTTTTTAGCAAATAGAGGGGCAAAGATAGATGTGAAGATATAGAGAAGAAAAAGCAAGTGTGCATAGAGAAGGGTTAAAAGAGAGGCAACTCCCTCAAGTGACCAGATGGCCCAGATCTTGCCAGTAAATCTCTTGACAGTTTTTCAACGTTTGAGAAACTTGTGTTTATAAGTCCGCTGAAACACCTGCTCGAGTTTCACTTTTGGGTAACTTATGTTCTGCAGAATTTAGCTTGAGGTTTAAAGGGTGATGAGTGATTAGTGAGGCTGACCCTGATCTGTATTGGATTTTTCAAATTAAAAGAATTGTACTTCGCACAGATAGCGTGTGTGGGTAAAGCATCTGCCATCAAGTTATTTAAAGAGGGATAAACAATGAGATGAACTCTTAACCTGTCCATTAACTTTGCATTTTGAACTAGTTATAGACTCACAGAGTTGCAAAACATAATACATAAAGGTCCCATGTGCTCTTCACCCAGCTACCTCCCACCTCCCATCATGGTAACATCTTCTATAACTAGACTTCATTATTGAAACCAAGAAATTGACATTGGCATAATACAATTAACCATACTACAGATCTTACTCAAATTTCACCAGTTTTTACAACTTTTTATTCTGCATGTTCACAGTACTGAGAAATGTTATCCCATGTGTTGAGTCATGTGATGACCACCACAACCCAGATACAGAGCTGCTCCATTACTGCAAAAGAACTCCTCCCTACTTCTCTTTGGTAGTTACCTTTCTGGAAGGTACCTTTCTGTACCTTTTTGTAGGGTTCAATGCACTATGTAGCCCTTTTCCCTTATTGTTTTTCATAAGCTAAGGGGCGTTTTTTCTTCTAGGGAAAATGATTAAAATCCTTTTTTCTTTAGAGAATATTGTAAAAAATTGAGATGAAACTTTCTATAAAATTATATGATATTGGTGATATAAACCATATAGTATGTGATACAGGTCAAACTCCTAATGTTGTTTTTGAGCAATGCCAAAGAAACTCTTTGATGGGTATAAAGCCCCACAATTTACAGGTATGAGGGATAGGTTGGTAGAGTAAAAATATGCTGTGTCAAAGGTAGCAAAAACCAGCTCTGTTTGATCCTATTAAATGAGGATTTTGACCAAATCATTAGATCTTTTTTTTCTGTTTATAGAGGTGAAATTGATGTTCTAATATTCTACTCTATTATATACCTTAGATAGACTGAAGAGTGTATTATAGGTGCATACTTCCTTCCATACAGAAGGAAAAAGCATTTTGGAAATTCTTTAAAGGTTAAAAAGTTAAGAATCAGATAGTCTTTAGGGTAAGGAGTCTCATAAAACAGTTTGTGTTGAGTTGGCATCAGAAATGCTTCTATAAACTCCCAAGAAGCAAAAGAACAAGTCACTCTATCCTGATAATTAATTAGAATAACTTCTAGTTGATGGGGTTTGAATTTATCTGAGATCAGGCATTCTCATTATGTTTCCTGGGGAAAGCTGTTATGAGGATGGAATATAAAAATAGCCAGGCCTTACCCTCTTCAAGATCAGGGTTTGGTAGATGTGACTCTACTTACCACTGTGGGTGCCTCCTTGAACTATGCGATGCTCCCTGGCAGCGGAAAGCTCCCCATGGCTCTACCCAACATTTTGAGTTAAAGTGTTGTATAAGACAGAGTTGGACCCACTAAGAAGATCTTCCCTAGAGAAGTTAGTTGAGAAAAATGACAAAGCTTGAATCTCAGCAGTCCTTAAATTCAGAAGGTCATCGATGACTGATCATGGAGAAGTGGCTTTCAAAGTTTATCATAGATAATTATGGCTGGGGTGCCTATTAAAAATGTCTCAAACTAAACATTTATGCTTAGGGAGATGTGGGATGGTACCTAGTCCATTCTCACTAATGCATATGTTCTTGCCCATAGGCCATATTTGGAGAAAATGTATCTCATGTTTGAGTAGTCTGCCATGCTCATTTTGATGGTATTGGAAACTGAACCTAGAAAAATCACATCTGAACTGAACCCATCTAAAAACCACACTGTCTTGGAACTTGTCCCCTGACTTCCAAAGTAGCTGGTATTGAAGTGACAACTAAGAACCTCACTTTTTTAAAGAGAAGGAAAAAAATGCTTGATTATGGGCACAGGACAATTTCTCTGAAGCTATAAAAAGTTTGTCTGGGAATTGTGAAACATTGGACCAGCATCCCAGACATTAAACAGGAAAAGATGCCTATGTGGAAAGAATGCACAGGAAACGTGGCACCAGGAGCCACATGATTCCAGGGATAAGACCTCAGAGTTCAAATGATAAACTCTGTTCACACAGGTTTCCAGGACCTCAAAGAACTTAGTAGACTATTTTTTTCATTGTGAATATTTCTTACACTGTACTCATTATTTTTGATTCTGTCTTGCCATCATAGAGACTAAAATACAAGAAAAGTGGCTGGTTTGTGGCAATGAAGACTATGGTGCACACAGCTAAGTGGTTGGGTGACTATCCTGACCTTTCTTTAGGTGGATGCCATCTCATAATTAGACAAACCCAATGCTTCTTCATGCCTTCACTTGGCACCAGAGAATACCTTTCAAGATGATCTGAGAATACACCTTGCCAATATAGGCTTGATATTCAGACATATTGTTTTAAAGTATTGTTTAAATGATTATTTTGAGACATATTATTTTAAAGAGAGCTGTGAATCAGTCTGAAAATTCAAGCATATTGGCTATTCCTTAGAATAACAGTATCCAGGACCAGAAGTAATGAAATTAGAGTAAAGAAGGAGAAGTGGGTTAATTCACTTATTAATTCTGCCCAATGCTGCTAGTGTCAAGTACAGGATGGTGTATAAAGTAACTACTGTAGTTTTTGGACCATAAGACACACCTAGATTTTAAGACACACCTAGAAGTAGGAAAAAATATTTTGAAGCAAAAAATGTGGTAAAATATTTAATAACATAAATAACATAAATTTCACCAATGTAAATGTAAATAGAACTCAACAGCAGCACTAACAACTATTATTCCCTCTCAATTTTGGGGGGAAAAGGTGCATCTTATAGTCTGAAAAACATGATGCCTGTAGGATGACAGAAAAAATATGGTCTAGGAAACTTTGGTCTCAGTATACAAGTTCTTTCCATTTTTTGTGGAGTTATTCTCAGGTTTAAATTGAATCTAAAAATATGAGTTTTACTTTTCTCTTTTAGTTTTTAGTAACTGTGGACAATAAAAAGAGTACTGTATAGGGCTAAAACAATCAATATGTTGGAATACCTGAAAATAACTTTTTAAATAAATTGCATGCTTTGCCAATGTGAATTACAAATTTTTGGATTTGTTTACTTTTCTATAATCTTATAAGAAATTGCTACTGCTGTTCTCTTATTTATTAACCATTAATTATTGAGCACCTACTGTATGCTACCACTGTGCTAGAGGTCTAGGGAAACAATGGTGATATTGCTCAAGAAGAATAACATTTTCCCATTTTCTTAACTAAAAGTTTCATATGTTTATTTTTTCTATTTACATAAAATTAATTATTGCTTTACCTTATAACTATTAGGCAAATAGTCTCATTAGAAGGATTAGATTCCCCACTATAAAGAATTAAAGCCAAATAAAAATTGTTTGGTGAACAATATTTGTCCAAATATTTTCTTGGTCTAAGGCACAGGTGGCAAACACAAGGCCTATGGGCCAAATCCGGCCCTCCATAGTGTTTTATCCGGCCTGGTCCCTTGTTTCTACCCAGCAGCAGCGCTGAGCTCTCCCTTAACTGTTAAGGAGTAGTTACATTTATACAGTACTAAAATTACATTCGGCCCTTTGAAGGCAACCGTGAGGCTGATGTGGCCCCTGGTGAAAATAAGTTTGGAATCCCTGGTCTAAGGAATGAATCTTTTTAATTTTGCCATGAATATATTTCTTTAGTCATGGTTTTTTATAATCATGATACTCAATATTAGGCTCAATTATCTCGTTAAGTGTAGCTTCTCTGCATTTTATTGCTATCTTATAAGCCACGTTTTTTTACTTCACTAGAAGAAAGGATACAATTGAAAATGATTGACTTCCAGCCAAAATGGAGTCATAGGTAGATATACTTTGCCTCCTTGCACAACCAAAGAAGGATAAAAACAGATTTAAAAACAAAAAAGAACCAGAACTTTCATAAAATCAAACTGTATGAAAGTTCAACAACCAAGGAGTTAGTGAAGAAATATTCATCTAGACTGGTAGGAGGGGCAGAGATGGGCAGCCGAAGGGGACAGGACTTGGGGCAAGGTGGTGGCTTGTGGACTGGGTGAGGCTGCAGCTGCCAGAGCAGGCAGCCCCACACTTGCATGCAGATAAACCAGCAGTTAACAACTGAGGAGCAAGACAGACCTTGCAACCCAGGGTTCTAGTGCAGAGAAATAAAGTCTCAAGCCTCTGATTGAAAATACCTGTGGGGGTTGTGGTGGCAGGAGAAACTCCCAGCCTCACAGGAGAGTTCATTGGAGAGACCCACAGGGTCCTAGAACATACACAAGCCCACTCACCTGAGAATCAGCACCAGAAGGGCTCAATTTGCTTGTGGGTAGCAGAGGAGTGACTGAAAGACTGTAGAGAGCTGAACAAGTGACATTGTTCCCTCTCAGACCCCTCCCACACATACAGTGCCACAACACAGAGATCTGGGCTGCCCCACCCTGGTGAATACCTAAGACTACCCCTTACTACGTAACAGGTATGCCGAGACAAAAAAAAATATGGACAGAACAGATCAAAGATCCAGAAAAAATACAACTAAGTGATGAAGAGATAGCCAACGTATCAGATGCAGAGTTCAAAACACTGATAGTGAGGATACTTACAGAAATGGTTGAGTATGGTTGAAAAATAGAGGAAAAACTGAAGGAGAAAAGTGAAATAAAAGAAAATGTACAGGGAACCAAGGGAAGGAAACTGGGACTTAAATCAAAGGTTTGAAACAGAAGAAAGAAATAAACATTCAACCAGAAAAGAATGAAGAAACAAGAATTCAAAAAAAAAAATAAAATGAGATGCTTAGGAACCTCTGGGACAACTTTAAACATTCCAACATCTGAATCATAGGGACGCCAGAAGGAGAAAAGGAAGAGCAAGAATTTGAAAACATAATGAAGGAGAACTTCCCTAATCTGGCAAAGGAAATAGACTTCCAGGAAGTCCAGGAAGCTCAGAGAATTCCACAAATGTTGGAATGAAGGAAGCACACACCAAGGCACATCATAATTTTATTGCTCAAGATTAAAGATAAGGAGAGAATCTTAAAAGCAGCAAGAAAAGAGACAGTTACCTACAAAGGAGTTCCCATAAGACTCTCAGCTGATTTCTCAAAAGAAATCTTACAGAAAGAAGGAGCTGGAAAGAAGTATTTGAAATCATGAAAGGCAAGGATCTACATCCAAGATTACTCTCTCCAGCAAAGCTATTATTTAGAATGGAAGGGCAGATAAAGTGCTTCCCAGATAAGGTCAAGTTAAAGGAGTTCATCATCCCCCAGCCCTTATTATATGAAATGTTAAAGGGATTTATCTAAGAAAAAGAAGGTGATCAAAAATATGAACAGTAAAATGAAAACGAACTTACAACTATCAGCAACCAAACCTAAAAATCAAAAACAAAAACAAAAATGAACTAAGCAAACAACTAGAACAGGAACAGATTCACAGAAATAGAGATCACATGGAAGGTTATCAGCAGGGAGAGAATGGAGGAAAAGATACAGGGAACAAGAAGCATAAATGATAGGTACAAAATAGACAGGGGGAAGTTAAGAATAGTATGGGAAATGGAGAAGCCAAAGAACTCATATGTATGACCCATGGACATGAATTAAGGTGGGGGGATGCTGCTGGGAGGGGGGTACAAGGCAGAGGGAAATAAAGGGGAGAAAAAAATGGGACAGCTGTAATAGCATAATCAATAAAATATGTGAAAAAAATGATTAGTAGCTTCTATTTAGGTTAAAAATTGAGAGAATTTAATGCCACATTTGCTTCTGTTTTCAGTCTTATTTTTTAATTCTAGTGTCCATGGAGGGGAAATGTGTACAACAATAATTCCATATAATAAAATTATTTTTCTTTAAATGTACATAGAATATTTGCTTCATCAGAACAACTTTTTGTACTTCTTTTATTCCACCAAGTTGTTTGGTAGTTTAGATAATAATTCAATTGAGAAATGAAGAAACAAGTATAGAGAAATATTAAATGATATTCTCAAGTGAATACATTCAATTTGTGACTCAGATGTGACCAGAATAGTGGTGATTATTTTTTCACCAAGTCACATAACCACCTGACATGTGACGTATGAATATTTACAATGTGGCATGTACTCTCAATTACACAATCACGAGATGTGTAAGGCCTTTGCAAATCATAGCACACGGAGATGCTATGTGCTACTTCCAACAGACCATCTGTAATTAGTAATAAGATATTACTTGCTGTGCTTACATTTAAGTCTATGCTGAATGTCTATTTGCAAATTTATTTCCTCAAACATATTTACTTGTTCCTTGCAACATCTGTTAAACCTGCCCATGTATTACTAAAATAGCACATCTAAGTATAAAGTAAGATCATTGAATATCACCCTTGGGTTGATCAGGCAATTGTAATTGGGTAAAGTTTATGTTTGAAACATGTGGCATTGACTACTTTTTTAGGTTGAATTCTGCTCATTTCAATAACAGAGTTGTTTTGATAATAGCTATTGAGTATTTTGATTGGGTGCTACCTGAACTTCATCCCACATATGTGGATTAAGAATGATATTGATAACTATTTGCAGAGGACATTATTTTTAAAGGACTTTAATAGATGTCACATAAACAGAGTGGACATATAATGCTAATTAGGGAGGCCATAAATACCGGGCACCCATGCAGAACTTAACTACTCCACTTAAGCAAATTCAAGCAGCTTTTGACTTAAGCCTTGATACTTTCCCATATTAAAGGCAGCTGGAAGACTTGGAGCTTTCCTTCATAAGCCTGTCTTCACTTTTCCAACTTATCTCAGTCCCATCATTTTGTCAGGGTTCATGTCGAGCCAACCTTCTCCATGTTTTTCCAATCCATTTATCTATCTCATTTCTGATCTCCTAAAGCATTTATAATCAGCATCCCATTATTTTTATACTTGAATGTATACTGCCGTTATTATATAATACATATAAAGTCATGATTCACATGGTCAGTTTCAGAGGGTGTCACAGGCAGATGTAAACACTCTATAAAATACTTTATTTCAAGGGAGAATATACTCACCAACTCATTTTTAAATTCTGTCTTATTGCACCCACTGCCCTCATACATCACAATTGCTTCATTGCCTCTTTGTCAATGATTATCCATATGGGTATATATTCATCTAGGGTAACTGTGCTTCTGTTCATGGCAGAACAGAACTAGTTTATTAACTAGTAATAAACTTTCTCTTCCCCTGTAGACAAGTAGAAATCTGGGGAAAAAATACAAAGCAACTCTGGTTTCAGACGATCAGTAAACAGGGTTGTGTCCCATGAGAGAAGAGAACCAAACAAGGTGTGCTCTACTACTCACCCATATTTCTGCCTACAGGTGTCCAATGGACCCTGGTCCAGAGAGAGACTCCAGTAGAGCATTGGTGGTTCCAGGGAACTGAGGTGATGGAGACCCAAGTTTGTAGAACTCCCAGTGGCAACTGAAAGTGGTGGGGCCAAGAACTGAAGACAGGAAACTTCTCAGAGACAGAGCTCCAGAACACTGCATGGAGGGAGAGGAGTCTTTTAAGTCTTCAAATGAAAACTAAACTGTGTGTGTACACAGTGGTACTCCAAGAGGACAAAAATGACCAACGAGCTATAAATCAAACAATTTCAAGACGTCATATTGGGCTAGGGACATTCTAGAATGGAAAGACTCAAGGGGCACACAGACATTCAGTAGGGACTCCCAAAATGTCAAATTTCAGAATGTGACTAAATTAGATGTGCCCTTACAAAACCTGGAAACAAAGTTTAAAAGGAAAAAGTTGATCCTTTCGATTCAACTGCCCGAAACCAAAAGGCAACATTCTTTAAAGGGAGACAGTACAATTTAGATAATAACATAGCATTCATAATTCAGCATCCAATCTAAAAGTACTAGCAATTGAAAGAAACAAAATTGTGTGAACAACAACCAAGAGAAAATTCAAGCATGAAAAATAAACCTATAAATGATACAGATGATAAAATTAGATAAAAACTGGATGTCTACCATATAATGTAAGCACCTAAACAGTATGAAAGACAGACTTTAAAAGAGCCCTTTTAAATATGCTGTAATTTAAAGTAAAACATAAACATAATAAGAGAGGAACAGAGCATACAAAAAAGAACTATATGTAACTTTCAGATATGAAAAAAAATCAATGCATGAATTGAAAAATTCATACGATAGACTTAACATATTAGACAATGAAGAAAAAAAGTTCAGTGGACTTGAAGGAACAATAATAGCTATTACACAGAACTTGTATCTAAAATAATGGGAATGACTTTTAAAAAATATTTTATTTATTTAGTTTTAGAGAGAGGGAAAGGGAGGGAGAAAGAGAGGAAGAGAAATGTTGATCAGTTGCCTCTTGAATGCATGCTGACCAGGGACTGAATCAGTAATCCAGGCCTGTGCCCTGACTGGGAATTGAACCAGAGACCTTGTGCTTTGCCAGATGATGCCCAAACAGCTAAGCTACTCAGTCAGGGCTGCAAATGACTTTCATAATTTGATAATAATAAGTTAAGCAAACCAATTAAAATGGGCAAAATTTAAACACACAATAAAGAAGATCTATAAATGGTCAATTAGATAAGAAAAGATAATCTCATGAGTGATCAGAAAAATGTAAACTAAAACCGCAGTGAATACCACTGTATATCATTAGAAAGGCTAAAACAAACTTACAGTGTGTATGAGAATGTGAAGTAACTAGAATTCTCATTCATTGCTACTGATATTATAAAATGGAACAGTCACTTTGGAAAATCGTCTGACTCTTTCTGAAAAGTTAAAATACAACACAAATGGATTTTAAACCTTTGAAAAAAGCTATTGAACATTAAGAAGAAAACACTCTTCCAGTTTTTACCACTGTGTGTTTCTTGCTTTATTGAACTCCCAGTCTCCCATTTCTTCCTGATTCTGTTACAAAAGCCTGTTAAATAATAAACTAAGGTATACCTACCATTTTTAAGGATTTACTTGAGTAAAAATTGATTTGAATTAAGGAGCATCAAACCAAAAGTGATTAGAAGAAGCATTGTACAGTTAGGAGCTGGAGGACAGATTTTATGGAACAAAGTCAGGAAATTATTGATTGTCTAGAGCCTAAAGTCTAGATGGCTGATTGTGATTAGGTTTCCTTAGGTTTTGATTTTGTGACCTTGAAGCTTTTACAGCCTTAGATTTTTGTTTGCTCAGCAGGCTACTACCACATGAGAGCCTCCCCCAGGCTAATGGCCTCCTTGTTTAATTAATTTAACAAGACCAAGCACTTAAGTGATTAACCAGGAGCTTAGTGGATTTGAAGAGCAGGCAAGTCACAGTGTAGACCAAGCTGGAATCACCTCTAGCTAAGAGAGAAACACAGAATGACAGGAAAACTCACATAGCATCATTATCATTGTGCATAGTTGTAATATTCTTATTGATTACTTGGTTTATAAATTAAACACATCTTCTCTTTCAAGGACTATTCAGTCTTATTAAGAAGGAAAAATTATATGGAAAGTGGCATCATGACAGAAGTACAGTGTGTTATGCAAGTTCATGTGTAATTCTGACTGAAGTGTTGACACTTCATTGTGCTCAGTGTCAGTCTTATTTTCCTAAGTTTTAAATCAGAGGGCAAGGATAACCTCTTCAATGTCTACTGCACTAATGTAGTAAGCACCTCACCCAATGTTAAAGCCATAGATAGTGCTCCATCAGCTTGGATGATTGATTGCTCAGTTTGTCAGTTAGCATTAGTCTTGGCATAATCCTTTGAACAAAAAAAACAAAGAATGATGACATTAAATAGGCACAGGTTTCCTTTGCTTTCTCCTATAAGAGGTAGGAAGTTGGCAAATCAGAACCATAGTTATCAGGAACCAGGCTCCTCTTCCTTCTGCTTTATCATCCTTTGCATCTTTCATTCATCTTCAAAATTGTCCACAGTGATTGCTAGAGTGTTGCTGTCCATCACGTTCATATCCCAGTCACAAAGAAGTGATGAAGAGGGCTGCAAATGAGCACCTGCCTGGGGCCTCAGGTCTCCTTAAAGAGCTTTCCCACAAGCCCCCCCCAATTACTTCCGTTTTAGCCTCACTAGTCACTCACTACTAGTTGTAAAAAACACAAGGGAATATATTCTTTTATCTGAGCATAGTCTTCCTGAATAAAATCAGATTCTATAAGTAAAGATGAGAGGGGGGAATGCAAATGAGGGGGTCAAACAGCCGTCTGTGCCGTGATTCATTTTGCAGAGTCTCAGGCTTGTGAAGGCCAATGTGACTGTTGCCTGATAGATGATCATGTTTTTCCTTTTTTCTATTCATGTGGAAGAAACTGTTGATTCATTAGGCATAGAAAACCCTTGACCTCCCCAACTGGCCACATTAAAGAAGAACCCCTTTTCAGTAAGTGCTAAATAAACAATGTTTTACAAGAATGTGTCTTCTTATAAAGTTCTTATGAATTTGATAATCTTCTGTTCAGTTTTTTGTTTGCTTGTTTGTTATATCAACTTATTGCCTTTCCATGACCAAATATCCACAGTGGGAAAAGCTGGAGTTCTTAAATTTCTACATGTATTTCTCTTCTGTAGTGTTGTAACATTTTTCTTGGCACATAGGAGAAGGGGCTTTCATGAAGTGTAAAGGAACACATGGAAACAGAAGGCTCCCTAATAAAGACATGGCATGTGGGATGTTACAGGTGATGCAGAGGTAACATGATTACAAATCAGTGTCCAGGATCTTTATGCAGAATGGTCAGTGTTGAGAGAGAGAGTCAGGGGTGCTTTCGAGTACCTGAGAGAAATACCTATGAGTCAAATGATCCAGACTGGTCTCTTTCCAAAAGTTAGAATGGGCCAAATCGCCTACAAAACAAAAATAAACAAAAGCTCTTTATTTTAACTTAAGAAGTACTGGTTTTACTGATGCCCAGTGGCTAGAGATAATAATTAATATTAGCTGCTAAGGTCCCAGAAAAACTGAGGAAATTGAATTATTACTTTATTTGTCTCTCAAATAAAATAATTGGATATTTTTCTAAATCCTTTTGATCTGTGGCAAGAGAAATGTTCCATTTGTAACTATTGCTATTATCAACAATAATAGAAAGGACAGTAAATGGCACCCAGACTTCAGCTCTGTGGCAGGTGCTATGCTGAATGAAGTGTAAGTATGGTGTCTGCCCTCTGGCCGAGATCAATTTTGCAGCCATTATTCTGTTTCATTTAGTTTCAGGACTAAATGGCCAATTGTGTAGTTAGGTTCTTGCCAGTACATTTGTTTACAGCAGCAGCATCCACTTTTGTGATGATTCATAAGTACAAAATTGAACGGGAAGAGGAAAAATAAATGAATCACAAAGCCTGTTAGAGGCCCTTGAAAGTCCGGCCCAAGTGCTAGTAAATGCTAAAGGGGAACATATTTACTGCAGTGGAGGTAGATTAAATGGATTAAATGGATAGATAATTGGGAAAGGCATGTGGGAAAATTGAATGAGTGTAATGGGTAAATAGCATAGTGCAAAATGGACAAGTTTCTGGTGTCTAAATTGGGTACAGTGAGGACCAGTGCTTATATCACCTAGATGAAGGGGCAGTAGTTGGCTTGGGTTATCTGGTTTGAAGCAACTTTAACTTTTTGCTGTTTCTTTCAGAAGAATGTTTTAATTAGGCACAGAAATGGGCACAGTGCCAGACTATGGGTCCATGAGAGTGCTTAGGGACCACAGACTAATATGTTCATCCCAAAGGAAATGTCCATACCCTTAACACTGTGGCATGTCCTCTGCAATGAGCATCTTCGCTGGCATAACTAGGCACAACAGAATTGTGTTACCGCTTTTGTTCATAGTAATTCATTCTTGCAGTCATTCCTTTAATAGTTAATTCATTGGACATTTATTTATTAATTGATTTCTACATAGAAAATGGTAGAAAATAAATCAGATTTTTTAAAAAGTCGTCATTGTCTGAAGGATCAGAATATTTATATGATATTTTGGAAGATAAAATATAAGAGCATTTCTTATGTAGGCTCTCAGAGGAAATTGGGGTGATATATGGCAGCGAGGTCATTGGTAGTAGTAGCTATTTGAGTCATTTTCCTAGGAGGTTTTAACAAGTTTTTTTGAGGACTGTATCAAGGTGCAGGATGTTAAGATTAAGAATTGCAACCATCAGCTTTCCTTCTTTGGTTCATAAATGCCCATTAAAATTTTTATAATTATGTGACTGACAAGGCAATGATGACTTTCTTGCATGTTCTTTACAGTTTAGAACTAGTGGACTTTTCTCATTTTGCAAAGGGTTGTTTATCTCTAGTGGCCTGGCTTTTAGTTGAATGAATATTTTGATTAACTGAGCATTTTGATACACGGATTTAAATTTAGTACAATCAGTTAGCAATAACACTATCTCAGAAATGACTTAATCTTATTTAAATATGTAGATACCTTAGGAATTTCCAAACTAAAACACAAAAACAAAAACCACTAGAATCAATCCAGAAATTATTATGCAGGACTGCATACATGGTAACTATAGGAAGTGGAGCTGAGCCTGTACTACACCTAGGACATTGAATCTTACACAATTCCAGCATTTGTATGTAGAAATGACTATTTTGATAACTAAATGCCATTTAACAGGAAAGAAAAGGAGGGAAGATATAGAAATAGGGGAAAAGGCATTTGCTGCTTAGAGCATCCTTTCCCTCTTGTAATATCCAATATTTTGTTTCAGAGAACACTCGGTAACATTCCTCCACTAAAGGCTTGGGCTACTCTAAAAAAGCGGTCCTCTTGCCTCTTGCCTCTTTTCGTCTTGCCTCATTTCTCAGGACATTTCTCTAAGTTGATTCATGGAATTCCTTTAAAATCCTCTCATGTACAATAACAAGTGAGTTTACTAAGGCTGCAGGATATGAGATCAATACACAAAAAAACAATTGTATTTCTATATACAAACAGTGCAAAATTGGAAACCAAGATATAAATACATTACCATTTGCAATAGAATCAAAATATGAAACACATAAGTATAAACCTTAAAAAATATGTATAAGGTCTTTATATTTAAAACCACAAAATGCTGAGAAAATAATCAAAGAATATTTAATACATGGAAAGGTGTACCATGTTTATGAACTAGAAATCTTAACACAGTACAGATGTCAATTGTCCCCAAGTATATCTGTAGATTTAATGAAATTTCTATCAAATCCAAGCAGGGTTTTACACACAATACACAAGCTGATTCTAAGACTTAAAGGGCAACAACATCTAGAATAAGTAAAACAATTTAGATGAAAAGTTTGAAGCTTAACAAGCTAAATAACTTGCTCTTAGTCATTCAACTAGAAGCCCAGAAATCCAAAACCATGTCATCTGACTTCTATGTTCATGATCTGCCTGCTTAAGCATACATTTTGTACCTAGCAAACATTTTAAGGTCTGTAATAATGCAACACAGAAACGCTTACTAAAACACCAAAAGGTGGATGTAAGAATGTTTGATAGGACATCAGACATTGTGTTGGAGTTCAAAAGTTGTCATTATTAGTCTCCTAGAACACTTGGATTTTTGTAATTATTTCTCCATTAAACTCTACATTATGACAACCTGTCCTTAGAAAGATGTTAGTAATTTCTTTCTACATACAACTTCCGCTGCACTTTTGAGTGGAATGTTTATTGCATTCTATTCCCCTTTAATTTTCTCTTTAGGCAAGGTGTTACTTAGGAAAGCATTTTGGGTTTTCAGATATATTTATAAATTAACTTTAAATTATTGACTTTCATCTCAATTGCATTGCTGGTATAGTCTTCATTATATAGGTTATTTGACACTCTCGAGACTTACTTTTTGGCCTAGCTTGTGATCAACTTTTATAAAGTTTCCACATGAACTGGATAAAAATTATTATTTTTGCACGATTGTTCAAAAGATAAATATGTATATGTCTTGTTAATTTTTAATTTAAATCTTATACAGTTCAAGTTTTTTCTTTGCCTGATAGAGGACAGCTAAAAAATCCTACTCTGGTATTGTGGATTGATTAATTCCTCATTATTCTATCAGTATTTATTCTATTTATGTTGAGATTGTTTACTTGGAGCAAAAACTTCATACTTAGTAGAACTCCTTGGTGGAGTAATTCTTTTTTATAAGAAATGATTGATCCTTATTTCTAGTAACATTGAACAGTTTCACATTAAATTCTACTGTTTCCCATTACTTTTGCCACAGCAGCTATTTGCGCAATAGAACTTCCCCATTCCTTTTCTTCCAGCACTTCTGAGTTATTTTTTTTAACAGCACAATTTAGTTTCATTTTAATCTGCTTATGGCGAATTTTCTGCACCATCTTGGCTAGAAGTCCTCTGCTGGGCTTTTGATGGGAAATCAGAGTACTGGTTTTCCACGTTACTGATCCCTGTGAATGCTGGTGACCCTATGGTCTCGTGGCACGGTGGAAAAAAAGGTTGCCCTAACCCTTCATGGCACTGGGTGAGGAGAGGGCTGTGTAGGTGAAGCCAGACTCAGAGGGCTTCCCTTGTAGAGTGTAACTGACAAAACGTAGCCCATAAATTTTCTTCTCTAATAAAGATAAGAAAAACTGGAAGGAAGGGAAAAAAAAACCTAGCTGAACATGTCACAAAAGTAATTTTTTTAATAATAAAAAATAATACGAACTGGAAAAGAATGCAGAAACAGCTTATTTGAAGTAAGCAAATGCATCAATAGAGAGAACAAATCGATTATAATCAGGAATAACTTACCTCAGAAGATAATTTGAGGTCATTTGAGGAAGCTATGCCTTTCATATCGATTCTTTCTTCAGGAAGAATTGGAAGTGATTGTTAGTGGCTTCTCTAAAAGTTCTGCTTAATGGTTTGGCATCTTGGGAATCTATCCCAATGCCTGCTTGATGGAAGCTGTCCAACGCTGGTAACCATTTCTCCTCAACATGGTTTGCCAAGATTACGCTTTTAATACTTAAGAACATCTTCTAATTATACCCTTCTGGCTTGATTGATGCAAGAGTTGCAAAAGTAAATTAAGTCAGCACGATAACTCAATCCCAGTGCGTGGTTAACTGAAACCATCCTGTGAAGAACACAGTGTCCTGTCTCATGTGCAAAGGCTATGTGAAATGGGGCAAATATTAACCAGCTGAAAGATGTATTTATTAAATATGAGTCTCATTTTGAATACCAAAACTGATGTTGGTGGGGGTTAGGTTTACAATATCAATGTCTTGTGTACCTGCTTGTGTGAGGTTATTTCTGGGTCAAATTAGTACACTCAGGGTAAGAGAGATACTCTGTTTGTGTTCTAAAGATCAGTGTCAGCATCTGTAAATAAAACAGCAGAAAAGAAAAGGCGCAGCTCTGCAATGATCCTCAGTTGTCCAGACTGACTAATGTTTTTTCTCATTTTGATATCTTTTTCATCAAAAACTTCAGGGAAGCATAAAGTTTGCCCACACTGAAACCTTCCTAGCTCTGCTTTTGTGCTCGACTGGTGCAGGAAGTCTTCTCACTTCAGTTTAAACAAGTGAGACTAAAAATGGTTTAAATTTACTTACGTAACAAATTAAGTAAAATTAAGAAAATGTAGAATATTTTTATAAATCTAAATGAAATTTCTTTATATATTCAGGTTATATTCTTTTTGTGTTTAAAAATTTTTGAAAAATTATATGGTGAAGTCATAGTTGGGAAATTTTTAATGTGCTTACTTTGCAAAATAAATTAATAACTTAGGTAGCTCCCCTGATTATTTTTTTCTAATTTACAGTATTTTGAAATTTAAAATTCTGGAAATCATTGACTCAAGTCATTGTATGGGAGTAAAATTAGTTCTTTCAGAGAATAAACAGATTAAGAAGTATTTTTTAGACTAGAAAGAGAGTACTCTCAATATTCTTATGGAATAGATACAGGTATCTGATCAAATAAAATATACTTGACTTGAATACGTTGGAAGTGTTTTCTAGCCATTCCCTGATCTCCCCACCATCAGCTGTGCTCAAAACCTGATAGAAGTAGATAAATGGGCCTGAGAGGAATTTTGGCCAAAGCATCCAAGTCTTTCCAAGGCAGTAAAAATAGAAAAGCTATAACATAGCTGTGTCCTTGGGTATTTCTTAAGCTTGCTTACTCCATGGATAGTCTCTCTGAGGTGATTCAGTTTGCCAGCTGAGAGGAATATGTATGAAAAATTTGAGACACTTGTCCAAGTTGATAGACTCATCCTCTTTGGAGAAATCCAGAAGTAAAAGCTATGAAGCCATTATGTAAGAACCATCTACATACAGAGACACACATACATTCATACAGATCCAGTTAATTTATTTTTAATAAATGCAAATTGACTATAAATAAGTGGGCACATATGTAAGTACATTATGCAGATTTATTCTATTTGAATGTCTCTTTGAATTCTCTTTGAATGTATTTCTCCTCATGGATTGGCAAAATCCTCAAACCACATTTGCTAAGAAGCAACAGCTCAGCTTCAGTCCTGCTCCTGGTTTGGGGCACCCTTCTTTACTCTGCTGGTCCTCACCAGGATGACTTCATTGTGTAGCTGTATCTCTTCTTTGAGAATGCTGGTGAGTGGAACTTCTCCAGTCTGTGCTTTCAGCCTTGGTTACTGTGGCTGTTCCAGTTGCAATTACTTTTCACATCACTCCTCTTCTTTTTGCATCTCAGACATTTGCATATTGGATATACTTTATACAATATTTTGGATAGTGTAAAAAAGATATGGTAATCTTTTTGTCACAAGGTTTTATACTTGGTGATCAGTGCTGGGCTTCCCTTCCTGTGCTTTGCTCACCAGTACTCTTTTCTTGCGCTGTCCTGGAAATTTGTTTCTCAAGGTCATCCTCTTTCTCTGGCTTCTTGGTCCTAGTTCTTGAAGGTCTTATTCTCTTCTAAGATGTGGCATTCTCATTGGCTACATTCTTTTTAAAGAGATTTTCTTGACCGCTTCTATGACTCCTTTGTCTACATGAGCCACATTTGTCAGTACCTGCGTAGACAGCATTGTATGTTACTTCACGGAATGAGTTCTAGACCCTAAGGTCTTTACGATCCCTCTGAAGCTGATGTTTACCACTCTGGAAAGGAAGGACTGTGATACAATAAGATCATATAGGTTTCAAGTATACATTTCTGTAGTATATGGTCTGTATATTGCATTGCCCACCACCCAAAGTCAGATCAGCGATTTATTCTTTAACAGCATTTTTCTTCATCCACACAGATGCTGAATAAGAGTTGAAACTTATATTTTAATTCTGCTTTTCCAGGAGAAAAATATAGCCTTTTTCTGTACTTTAACTCTTTAGTGTTACACTACCAATGACAAGATAAGCAGAAGAGATTATTTTTCATTGAGGGGCAGAAGGAGTAGTAGTCCCAATACCCTGTAATTGTTTCCCTACTGATGGTAATAAATATTGGTTAAACAATTACCATTTGAAAGCATGTTAGGGAATCATACGCATAAATTTAAGGAACAGGCTCTATAACATTAGATTAACCTCAAAGCATGTTTACACACTATATTGCCTAAGCCTACAATTGCTTCATTCTTTTAATGTTTACAGATCAGTTTTGCTAGGTACTGTATTAACTACTAGGGATATAAAAATACAGTCTCTGCCCACAAAGGAGACTCATGCAGAAGTTCCAGATCTGTGGGAAAAAGCTACTGTTTAAACTCAGGAGCCAGAAATATGTAGAGACAGGCTGTTGATATCTCAGCTTGTTGGTAAGAGATATCAATAAAGTCATTCAATATGGTCTCATTTGCTTTCTGCCTACCTACATCATGGCTAGTTATTTTTGACAGCTTTCAGTCTTCCACAGTTAGAAATTAATGAAGCCAATGAAAATTCCTTGGGTTTTGATTTTTGTATTTCATCTCAAAGTTACCTAAACTTGGAATCTTTGAGCAAGATTTCTTTTTTTTATTGCTACTGAGGTACAGTTGTCTCCATTTTCACCCCACTACAGCCACCTGCCCCACTCATCTCCACCTCCCACTCACAAACCCACCCCCCCTCACTTTGTCCATGTGTCCTTTATCCATGCTCCTTGATGGACCTTCCCCCATTTTTCCCCTCCCTGAGCAAGATTTCTTGTAGAGCTATACTGACAACCTCTACACTATGAACTTCCTCATGCTCACCTCCATTGCCTGGTGGGCACCCCATGCTGAGCTAGGAGCAGCTGCAGTGCCAGTGCCTCAGTATCTCAGGCACCCTATCAAAAATCCATGTGCCAGCCTGCATGGCAGGGAGAGCGTGGGTTTGAATCCTTCCAGCATAAAGCATACGGCCAGGGGACGCAAGGCCACACCAGGCATAGCAGTCTTCCCGAACACCTATGGTCTAGCCTGAAAATCTTTTTACACAGTTTACTTTTATAAACTTTCATTCTGGTCACTGTGACCAACAGAATGGTCCATATTTACATCTCTTCATTAATGCTGGGTAATGAGGCAGAGGCCAGTTATGGTAAGCGGTCTTCACAGCTACAGTCCTTTGGATTTGAACAAGTGGATGATGAAGCCTGGAGAGCCTCCCACTAATGCCCAGAGTCAGTTCCTCTTTTGGAAGTCCACTAAATATGATGAATATATTAGGCTACTGGCAGGGGTCTGCCTTACAGGAATTTGGCACCTTTTGTTTAAAAAGCCGTTTTTTTTTGAAAAGGGAGAAGAGCTCCTTTATGAATGTAAATGATGTTTTTGTTTCATAAAACATTGAAAGATGATGGTAGATATTGTTATCAGATATCAGTGCCTATAGATCTGCACATACACATTTACTCAACAGACTGGTGAGCAAGTCAGAGACATACATCTTATGAACTTGGACATTCAGTGCTTCCAAGTTTATAGAGACTGATGAAAATAAAAGTAATCCCTAACTGAGAGACTTTTCATAATTGATGGTTTTAGACTTCAGAGACGAAAATTGACCCTCTGATCTTTTGGGTGTTCAGGGCAGACATGAAAATCAGGCTCTGCTTTTATCTGTCATGTGATACATTCTTTATTTATAGCCTAGTCCAGAGCACTGGGGACCCAGTGTCTTCCCATATGTGAAAAGCATGTGCTCCTTGCAGGTTAAAATCAAAGACCTTGGCTTCATTTTAAGATCAGCATGTGTTAGGCTACTTGTTTTAATGTTTCATATTTTCCAGTTTGCAGTGATCATAACCTCTTTGGGGCTTTGTTTTTAATGAATGGTATGAAAGCTTAAAGTATGATGACTTAGTTATCAGAACCCATATTTCTTTTAAAAAACTCAACAAAATGTTTTGATTAAATCTGAAACATTTTTTTGGAAGGTGACTGGGCTAAAGAGAAGGCAAAGTTCCTTAATCAACAGAAACTTAGGCAAAGACTTTTTTCCCGTGGCTTCCTTGCATACTGTGATAAAGAAAGTATGCAATCCCAAACAAGCAAATTAATTTTATGAGGGACTTAGAAGCTGAATTTAAAGTGTCAGTGGAAACCATTGGAAAACTATGTTGAGTGCTTTTAGTGAAAATTCTACTTACTCCCCAGTTGTAACTAACAGATGTAGTGTTATAACTGGCAGGGAGTCAGATTGTTAAGAGGAGGACAGCTAATAGAGTGTAACATGATGAATCCAGGGCAAACATGATTCTCATGTCTTGATTCCAGATTGGGACTATCTGTTGGGATGTAAAATACATTATCCAGATCACTTCTCTTAGATACGATTCCAAAAATTTGTCCAGAGATGAGAATACGTCCCACAAACCTATAAGTTATTTTCTGAACACTTCACTTATGAATATAAGGACCACATAAATTATTATTTTAAATTTTTGGAAGAATGTGGAGTCAGATGGAATACTGAGACTCTTCTGGGCACA